GCAAACCTATGTATTTATGTGTAAATATGCCATTATGTTTTGGTGCCAAATGAAAAATAACAACTATAATTAGTTAAAAGTGTAAGTGAAATGAAAAATGTAATCCCTCTGAAATGTGTACTCAATAAAAATACACTGTCTACAATTGACATTGAAAAAATAAAATTCTGTAACGGTGACAACATTTTCTTTGTATTGACAAATTTTAATCTTTTCATATATCGCTACCTTAAGGTGAAAAGGTGCCAAGTCAATTATTTTGAAATTGTTCAGGAGATACGAAAAATCGATGTAGATTCGCATTATCTGTCATTCTGCTTAAATCTAAATTTTGAAAAATAATGGACTTGGCACCTTTTCACCTTTAGGTAGCGATATTTTTTCGTAATAAAAACTGTGACAAGAATTTGTCAGTGATACAGAGTAAGTAGAGCTGTTAGGGTTACGAAAGGGAAATCTAGGGGAAATCTGCAATAACTTGGCAACACTGCACTCAAAGCAAATAAAAAAATTAGCTCACCCCAGCACGCATTTTCGCCTTTTGTCCTGCGCCTTTGTTCAGCTGTTGCATTTAGCAGTCACGCGAGCGCATAAGAAGAAGTCAGTTTAGAAGGGTTGTTCCTTGTTTTGTTGCTGCGTCTTGTAAGCAAATAGTTTACTGTCCTTTAGCGCTTAGTCCTGTGCTGGAATTTACATACACATGTGCGCATTTTCTTGCGTTACAATTTTCTTTACTAGAACTGTTTTGTTTTTCTTCGTAGTTTTTTTTTTTTGTTCTTTCCTTTATTTGTCGCTTATGCATAAAGCTTAGTTTTTCGCGCTTTGTTTCTGGTTTTTCTTGATCCTTTATCAGATGTGTGTTGCTTTTCTTTTGTATTGGCGCGCTGCTTGTTGGCTTTTCATTTTCATTTTCCACTTTCATTTTTTTTTCTTTTCATGCCACTGGCTTTGATATGCAAATTATCGCCACCTTTGGTATTTCGACTACTTTATTATTCGGCGATAAAACCCGGTTATTGCGTGTTTGCCTTATCGAACTTTTGCTGGCCTCATGGGTGGCGTGTTTGAGGCTTTCGTTGACGATTTTGCGCGTTTTGATGCCCACTGAGCGTGCAATTGTTTCATTTTAACGAGATCTTATCCTTTTAACTGCTCTGGAGTCATTTAAAAGTGTCAGCACTTCTATCCAGCTTTATTTGCTCCTATCGACCAGTATCTGATGATCTTCAGAACACGATAAGCTGTTTACATTTTTGAAATCGTATGAATTTAACTGCTCTTAACTCATATGAAGACTATTACCAGTCTGGTGATCCTCAGTGAGCGATCAGTACCTGATGATCCTCAGTAAATATCCATATCTACTTCTCTGCTTTAAAGCCTCTGAACATATTTATACCCCATATGTATAAAAACCGCTCGTTCATCCGTTTAGCGAATGAGCGCTCAGTTAGTACGCTTTTCGCAATTGTGTGTCAGTAAGCGATCAGGTGATTCTTTTCTTGAGGTCCTACCTCTTTAACTGCTATTTACTGCTCCTAAAGGTTTACTTGATTTATCGATCAGTGTCAGGTTATCCTCGAAAAAGCGATTTATATATTTTTTTGAAATTATAACCCTTTAGCTGCTCCATACGGGGAACGGTATTAAAAATTTTTAAGTGCTGTAAACACCTACGATCCATATCTGGTAATACTCGGGGGAGTGTTGTTTTAAGCTCTCTATATCTTTCATATCATCTTTCGATTTCTTCTTAACTGTTTTAAGGCTTGCAGGAGTATACCTATATTTAAAAGCAGTTTGCCTACTCCGGTCAGCGCCTGTCTGGTGATCCTCAGTAAGCGATCAGCAGTGTTTTTTTTTTCAGATATTATCGATTCCCCCATCATATCTGCTTAATTGTCCTAGCTTCCTTCTAAAAACTACATAAAATCAAAGATTATTCTAATCCAACTGCATACAATAGCCTTGTCTTGTTAAATTCTCTCTGCCTCTCTGCCTCCCAGAAGCATTCATTTTTATTTAGTATATTTTCACCATCTACTTCTATTATTATTAAATTTTCAAGTTTACATCGGACTTTCAGCGTTTCTAATTTCAAGTTCATTTTTATTAGCACGATCGTCAGCGCCATTGTCTCATTGCCAACTTGTGATATTTCTCACTATTATGTATGCAAACATCAAAAAAATTGCGTGTCTGCAATGATTTTTACATGCAAGGTTCCTTCTAAATTTATGCAATTACAATTGCAATGCCATTTTTAAGTGTTGCTAATATTTTTATTTCTTTTTAAGTTTTATTTTTTTACCCTTTTGTTTTTCTTTTTTAGTTTGTATTTATTTAGTTTGTATTTATTTAATTTTAACATTTTTGTTTTATCTGATTTTTTTATTATTAAAAATTTGGTATTTTATCTTTTTATCTTTTTATATATTTTTTTATTTTTTTAAATTTAAGTTACTATTTTTTTTATTTAAATTTTTTTCCTTTTCTCGATTTCCAACTAAAAGCTTATAAGCTAAATTAACGCCCTTGTTCTCTTCAATTGCGTAGTTCTGCTTAAGTTTTGATCGTGCGGCTTTGAAAAAAAAAAATTATTCAAAAACTTTTAGACAATTAATAGTATTATCTAGCCTTGACTCTGATCTACAGGCTGCAATTTTACTTCGTCTTCCTCTTCGCCTACTAAAAAAAAAGTTAGTTAAACAATAAAATTCAATACATTTTTAAGTGTGTGAAAATGCGTAAATGATCGCGCGCGCTCTCTCAAGCAAACATTGCAAAGCAGACCTTCAAAGTATTTATTGTTTTATGATGGCTTCATAGCTGTGAAATTGCTTAGTTTTTTCCGCGCGCCTACGAGGTATGTGAAAAAAAAACTAAAAAAAACATTATTGCAAAATAACATTAGCACACAATTTTGTTGCTCTCCACGCGTGTCGAAGCTTGCAAAATGTATATGTAAATGCATATGCCGTCGCCGCCACCTTAAATTACAAAATCGGTTCTTAAGCGCTCATTTTCGTAGATTTGTAGGCAAGCACGTGCCTCCTCATATTTTGCTTGGAAAATTTTTATTACATTAGCAATTTTTAATAACAAAACCATAGCTCCGGACTCACTCATACTCTGCCCGCTCTTTACAAGCGAGGTCAGCTGGTGAAGATCACTGAGCGCCTCCTCCACTCTTCGCCTCGTGCGATCGCATGCTTTTTTTTTAGATTGCCTTGTTTTGGCTTTTCATGTTTAAAGCACACATGGGTTGTTGTAATTTTATTGCATTGTTGGTAGATATTGTTGACAGCGGTTGTATCAGGGTCAACACGAGGTTTTTTACTTCGTTTTGATTTGATTGCGCTATTCGCTTCATACATAACGTATTCTCTTTATATTTCTTTCGACGTCGAAATACATACATATACTATTTCTCTTATTCTTTTTTTTGTTAAATCTTTTTTGACGTCGTCTCTCAGTGAATTTTTTCGCATAATGTTGCCTCTTAATGCCAATCGAGCCAAGCCCATTTGGTACGCCGATCTACGCTGCATTGCTCACCTGCCCATTTATGGCACTCTTTTTTTTTTTGTTGTCTTCGGCAATATTTATTTGGCAATACTGCCGTTGCTCTGTTATTGTTATTATTACATGTTTAGCTAATATGTTTGTCGCTCATCATACGATAGGGTGCTCATGCCGCCGATCCTTAGCAGCATGCGATCGTTTTCGACCCGTATACAGTTCGGTTTCAAGTCATTAGGTCACTACAGTCAGCTTTTTCCCATACAAATATCCACCTTCGCTTTGGCCAACGCCTACTTTTCGTTGCTTTGACAATTAATTCAATTAATGTATTATTTTTCCCCTATATCGGCTCGTTTAATTTTCGTCATCAACACCTATCGTCCGTAGCGATCGGCTTCATAGACTTTATAGCTCCAAATCTTCAACGCCATCGCTGTGGATTGCTCCACTCTACTTCAATCAAGATTGATTTGTTTTTGCTCAATTGTTGTTTCAATATCAGCCCTACATACATACATACATATGTACTTACAAAATAATACCCATATGGCTGAGCTACGATCGCTTTTTTCACAACACTTATGTATTGCCCAGTGCTCATTCGCTCATTACATTCTGCCGTTTTGGCTCAATCAATCGTCATGTTTGTTGCAATTATTTCACAGTTTCAAATACATATTATATTGCTTGCTTGGCGGTTGCGGTTGATCGGCAATGGCGGTTGCGCTGGCTGTCGTCATAATCCGATTGCGCTGCCGCCACCTCAATCGCCACCGTCGCCGCCGCTCGCACACTCTTTGGTTCGACTAAGACCAAATTTGTAATGCCAAACCCTTTAAACATGCGCCAAATGAGTGAGCAATTCGAATACGCGTTCGCTTCATTAAATATTCAACTTTTTTTGACGATCAGTTGAAAGATCAGTGAACGTAATAATGTTGATCTGTTGCTCCATATCTGCTACAAAAAAAAAAAAACTCGATGGCTGCAAGAGGCCTACTAAATATGTGGTGGTGGCGTGCTCTCAACTTTTTTTTATTGAATAATTGGTTTTAATTTTTAATTCGCTTGCGCTGCCGTAGATTACTCAATTACATGCGTTTGAGCGATCGATGCCGACATTGAAAGCGCGCCGTTGCACAAAAGTAATTTTTCGTTGTGCGGTGAGAAATTACATTTCATTTACATTAGGGGTATTCACGATACGGTGCATACTGTCTAGCATGGTGCATAGATAGCATGATTGTTGTTATATCATGTGTTCAAACAACAACAAAATTAGCCAAGCATGTTATTTATGCTATCTATGCACCATGCTTGACAGTATGCACTGGATCGTGAATACCCTTATTGTCTTTTCCTACATGCATAGTTGACCTATTTCGACTTTTCATTAAATTCTCTAGCCTTAAATTAGTTATATCCTAACCGCAAATCCATCACTAATCTCATTTTATTTATTTTATTTTTTGCAGAACGAAAATCCAATATGAATCACTGGAGGGCTCAATGATTCTCGACAATCCCTCGAACGATACACTGAGTGACAAAATTGGCTGTCCGCTCTACACCGCACCTGAATTGCTCTGCCCCAATCCCACCTACTTCGGCAAACCAGCCGATATGTGGTCACTCGGCGTCATACTCTACACCATGCTTGTCGGTCAATATCCATTCTATGAGCGTGCCAACTGCAATCTCATCACCATCATTCGTCATTGTCAGGTGCAGATACCAATTAGCCTTTCCAAGCCCGTGCGTTGGCTGCTGCTGCTGTTGCTTTGTAAAAACTACAATGATCGGCTGCGCGCCGAGGAAGTATTTCTCACGCCATGGCTGCAGGAGCAGAAACCCTATGGCAATTTGTACCTGCATGTCGACACGAATTTGGATGATTTGGAAATGGAAGATGATGATGACAGCGTTGCGTTGACGCAATCACCAACAGCGGAAAAGGAGGAGGAGGCTGCGCTACAGCAAATGCATTTCGAAAAAGACTGCCAAGGGAACAACGCTAACGCGGATGTTCCCACAAACCACCACTACATACAAGACTGTCAAGTTGCTGATGGCTGTGATATTAGCGCTAATGCTGCGGAACCGCTCAACTATTCGCGACATTCGCTGCAGACCGTCAACCATGCAATGCATTTAGGCGGTGACGTCGACGTCGAAATGGGATGATTACACACACGTGTGTATTTTTTACGTGCCGTTGAGGGCAGCTACAATTGCGGCGATATTCGCAGCGTGAAGTCAACATCGATCGTGGTCGTCGTCGTGGTGATGGTGGTGGTCGTCAGTTGCAAGGCAGGATATGCAAGCGCAGGCGCTGTAAAATTTCTACCTTCACTCCCTCCTCCTCCTCCTACTACTACTACTGCTCTTCAGACAGGCGTATCCAAGCTCTATTATTGTTGCGTGCCGCCAGCTCAACATGAGTTTATTGTTGTTAGTTCACTGGAAGGTAGTCAGTACTGTATTAGTATGAAGAAGTACAACTCAGCTGGCCACAGCGTGCGGAGATGGCATTATTCGCGCGCGCGGCTACGATGCACGTGCTTGGAAGACAAGTACCGGAGCGCTGGCGGTGCCTGTGCGGCAGCTAGCAACTCGCTGAGACGCCAAAGACTTCGATGCTGCAACAGCAGTGGTGTTTCTGGCCTAAAGTGGCAACGTTGACTCTTTTGAGATGATTGAGTTTTTTCTTAAGTATAGTGTAACAAATTGTTCCTCACATCACCGCCTTCGATTGTTTTTTCCCCCCTAAGCAAATACTAAGTATTTTTCTTTCAAAGTAATTTTATTGGTGAACAAAAAATCTGAATTGCCTTTATGTACATAATTAATTATGTTAATACTGTAGTTACAGTGAATTCGCGTATACTTGAATATTGTTGAGTTTTAATTCTTCCTACACCGAGATGTACAATTAAAATATAAGTTAAAAAAATTAATTTGCAAAAATTGCAACCACTGTACTTTAAAAATTTTAGTAGAATCTGAACTTTCTAATAATGTTGCTTAAACATTTTAATTTTTTTTTATTCATAAAATAAGCAATTTCTTCCAAAAAATATAACTGTATATTTTTAATAATTTGCTCGTATTCAAAAAAAAATGGTTAAAAAATATATAATGAAAAACAATCACGGGTAAAGAGATAAAACCCCAACAGAATAAAAAATTAATGAAGCCATAAAAAAGAAATTTAAAAAAAAAATGCAAAAATAAATACAATTTGAAATTTGATCTCAGCTGAATTAAAATTATATGCGATTTTATTTAAAAGCGATCGGATAATAATAAGAACGGAGCGGTAAGTATTTATGATGAGGTAATTTATTGATAAGTTTTAAGGATTTTTTTCAAATTAATTTTAATTACTTTATTAGATATATTTATTATAAATGTATGGTTAGGTTTGTTTTTTGGCCGTTCATTGTAATCTTTTAATTTTTTTTTTTTTTTTAGCTCTAGGCCGAAGGTAAATGGTACAAGTAGATGTCTTATATTCCTTTTTGTTTATTACTGTCGATATTTCGCCTTTAATCAAAAGGCATCTTCAGGAAATCTTGGCTTTGCCTGGTATAGTTAATTCTTGACAAAAACCGTAAAATCCAAGTTTCAAACTTTGTGTAAATTAAAATCAGACTTCCGTAAAAATTGCAAGCCTTGTAATTAATATTCGTAAAAAGATTTTGAATATGTATGAGGTTTTGTAGCCCATTCAATTTTAGTACATAAAGTGTAAGTTAGAAGTAGCTGGGACTTACCGTTGATTTTTGACAATTTGTCTTAGTTGTGCATTTTCCTCCATATAAAAACTTTTTCGCACATACTTTGTGTGGAACACCATCAGCAAAAAAAATAAATCCCCAAAAATGTCTATGTTTATTTTTATAAAAAGGAATTACAAAAATATTTGAAAAAAATAAACACCCCTGTTGCGAGGTTCGACTAGTAGTAGATAAACGACTATTATTCGATTATCGATTATCCATGGTATTTTTGATGTCGTTTTCTTGTTCAAAAAGTGAGTGAATTGTTTTTAGTCGCTCATTTTTCTACAAACCAAACAGTTATAGAAGGATGAACGACTAAAAACTGTTCGCAGTCGCTTATTGAACGGGAAATCCACATTCACAATACCATGGAAAAGCGATAATCGAATAATAGCCGTTTATCTACCACTAGTCGACACTCGCAATAGGGGTGAAATGATAAAATCAGTATGTGGTGGCATTATCATTTTGTCGGGCACTATATGAATAATATGCAGCTAAAGGAGATGCTCGGTTCGCAACTTGGCGTAAAAGTTTCCTTGGATAAAGACAATATTTTTATATAATTTGCATTAGGAATTTGTGCTATTTTTTCAATATTTTTTTTTTTGATAATCCTCTTATACAAAAATAAGTATTTAATGCGAAAACAAAATGTAAAAATGCGCTTACCAAAGGACATTTCAGTTAACTTTTCGTCAGAGATTTCCCCCCTTATTCTAGAACCCGAAAACGCTACGAAAAACGAAAAATCCACATGCTGCAACCCTTGCGGAAACATGTGCAGCATTGCCAGCTATCAGTTGTTTTTCGAAGGTAGCTGAATGAAGGAAAACAAAGTGGAAAGGAATTAAAAAAAACACTCATCATGTGCTAGTTTATTGTAAAATTGGTTAATTTTACATATTTTGAGGAAAATTATGGCCTCTGATGCATTTGCAATTATAGCAGCAGAGTAAGAGGGCGCTATGGCAATGGATCCACAAAGGTATGCGGAGCTGTCTGGCATAGTACCCATGGGCGCATCTATGTCAGCTTCTGGTTGAATTGTTGAACCACAAGCCAGAACTCCTCCTATGCCTGAAGCTCTGGTCCTCAATCCAGTTAATGCAATAACAGTTTCTTCCGAGCCATTGAAAACATGCACTTTGTTAGGTCCACTACCTGTTGCGCTTGCTTCTGCCTTCGGCCGCGCTTAGGGATTATAACCCTTACTAAGTAGAATTCTTCTTTCTGTGTTGCGGGGAAGAGGGGCTTCCGCATGTCAAAGGTATACAACATTTCTTGTGCATATCACTCCGGCTACGCCGTGCACAGTATTTTTGCGCAGAACCCACGTCGAAATTTGCAAAAAAGTGCATAGTGCAAACCGAGTTTATTAATCAGCTAGTGGTAGGAAATTTGAAACATTTACATATCTTAAATAAAATGTGAATCCTTTGATTACACGTGTATGTTAAAGTTTTTGGATTCGGGTTATGCGTTTGGACACAACAACCGAAAATCATTGTACAAATAACTAAAAACCAAGTTTCTCGATAAGGGGCAACAAAGATTCGTTTTTGTTCGTTTATATAAAGCAGTGGATAAAAATATACGTATATGCGAAAGGCAAATTTATCTGTTTAAATGAACACCACCAATATTTCTTGCAAACACGATTTACATCTTTTATTTCCCTCCGACACTGCATTGTTTTCGTACACAAAAAAGCTTACTCGTTCGTTTTTAAGCATGCCATTATTACGAACTTCGAAAGCTCGAAAATACGATTCGGATTGCAGCATACTATTTCTACGATTCGTAGCAAAATCCGAATACGAAAGATTTTTTGTTATATAGGCTAAATTTCTTGGGAGAGAGTTCGTTTTAAATCGTAGTAGTTTAATGTTAACTAACGATCTTGATTTTTTGAAAATTGAAAAATTTTGCCATGCATTTTACAGGGAAAAATTGAGGAAGAGGTGGCATGTGTTAGTATTAAAATTTTCGAAAATAAAAAATACGTACTATATACAAAGATATTTACTTTTTTTCGCAGTAGAACACATTGTTAAGGGTTTCTTGCTTTTTTGCCACAATAATGTACATACATGAATATGTCTATGGACGCAAATCCTGATAGCCGACTTTTAGACATGGTTGAAAGGACCGCACGGGGAAGTCGATTTCTACTTGACGCAATTCCTCGCCGTTCATGGTTACTTCTGAGAATATCTTCCTTGGATGGGAAGGGTGGACTCACGCTACTGCGAAAACATCGAGTAAACCGTGCACCATACACTCTTCACTTGCGAGCACTTCTTGACTTCACGCAGAATGTTGGAAGAAATATACGGAGACATAACAATAACATAGTTGGGGTAATGGATCTCCAGTGCAGACAAGTGGGAAGAAGTTGCGAGATACGTGAAATTCGTACTCCTCTGCAAACGAGAAGACGGATGTCTACTGAGGACACCCCAATGAAACGCCCCTACAAAAGACCATTCCCAAGGCTCTAGCAGCGCGCTCCTGCAACTGAAGACATGTAGAATTGCGGTGCCAGATGCGCGATTCTTGCGCGGGCGGTGGGAGTTTGGGTTTTAGTGGGTAGCCCAACACGCGTCAGTGGGAGTCCCACACTCGTGGAAGGTAGTATAGCGACTAGCGCCCCCGGCCAGTGCATAAAGCATTTCCCCCTCCTATGAACAAGAAAAATATATGTAAATAATAGGACAATTAAGTAAGGTTAATGATAAGACTACTAGCATTATAAATGTGAGATGAAAAAAATCCTAGAGAGTAAGCAATAATATCATTTTAATTTAGAAAACATGTATACCTATTAAATAATCTACAATTGATTACTCTGAAATCAATTTAAACGGATTACCTTTTAAATTCGCCTCGCATGACAGAGCTTTTCTGAAAAAGCACATTTACAATAAGTAGTACTTTTCGCATATTAAGTTGAAGGTATTAAGGCATATTAATAGGAAGGCGTGTGCTTAATATGAAAAACCTTTGCAACTCAATATTCAATTTTGCGCAATAATTTGTGCTCATTGACACTTAAGTATTCACAAAAAAGCTATCCATATCACCTGATGTGAAGGGCATGAACAGGCCTGTTGTGGCAAAGATTTCGAGAGTGAGTATTAATACCATAAGCTTGCTCTGATGATTTACGATCACACGGTAGAGGCAACCCCACACAACAAATGATCATTTAAATAAATGGGTGATTTAGCGCCAATTTGGCGATTTTTTTTGGATAATTGCCCGTAGAATTTAAAAATTCGCCTTTGGCGATTATTGGCGATTTTTTCCCTTCAGTTCAATTTTTTTGTGCGCTTATCATGTAAATGCGCCGGCTATTTATCAGAGTTCAGCCAGGTCGGATAAAAAATACGCGACCTGAAAGATATATGCCTGGATTATAATGGAAGCAACGGAACGGAGTGTATGGGCAATGAATTCGAACAATTATAATGCACTTGAACGCAATGTAAAACGGAAGCATCTACAATCAATAGATCCTTACGAATTCGCCGCGATTTGTTACGATTCGCCCCGTGCATTATAACCAAGGTAATACCTTGTTATTTATCATTACCCTGAAGGCATTATATTCATTTTTGGTTTTAAAAACTATGTTGTAACAAGATCTCATTTTTAACCGACTTCCAAAAAAGGAGGAGGTTATCAGTTCGTCGGAATATTTTTTTTTTTTTTTTTTTTTTTTTTTTTTTATGGAAAGGCTGTATCTCAGAGGTGGTCCCATACTAATCTGGTTTAGATCCGATCATTGGATCATGAGATATATATACATATATATATTTTTTTATATGAGAATTGAAGTCGGTTTTTTTTTGCTAAAAATTACTTGTTGCTTAAAAATTACTTTTTTACTTGTAACTATGTTTGTATGTACATACTTAGTAGAAGTCACGTTCACAGAAACAATAGCGACTCGCTAATTGTTTATTGTCACTGTAATGCCTGGAAGCGTTGGGTCAGGGAGCTCAGCGGAGATAGGCGGCATGTGTGGGGCGCGTCAAACAAGCTCGTCGAACGCTTTCAAGCTGAGCGTGTGAGCAAATGAGCGCGTGAGCATATCACAAGTTGAGTCTTTTTGCTGTTTCGTTGTTTTTTTTTTTAATTTACTAGAAATAAAATTAACTTAAATTGCGAGTAAACACAAGTAGATGAAATACACTACTAGCACTTGTACAAATATACCTACATACATACATTAATATACACATGTACAGTATAAGTTTGCATATATGTAGAAGATATTTCGCAACCTGGCTTTGAAAACGTACAACGAAGAGAACGAATTAGCGAGGGCCGAAGTACAAAGTCGTATAAGTACATACATATATGGGGTACTACCAGGGATGGAATTTCAAAATTTCAAAACGTGCCA